TGTGTGTCATAACTTCCCTTTTACTTCTGTGATAAAAACACTCTGACAAAAAACAACTTAAAGGAGAAAGATTTACAGTTCTAGGCAGTCCATTGTGGCAACCAAGCCAAGGCATCAGAAGCAGCTGATCACATGACATCAGAGAAAAGAACAACAAATACTTGCAAGCTGATATGCATGCTCATTTTCTCCTACCTACTCAGCTCAGTCCAGGATCTCCTATGTAGGGGATGGTGTCACCCATAGTGGACGGGTGTGCATCTCAATGTAATCAAGACAGTCCCCTACAGACAAGCCCAGAGACCAACCTAAACTAGACAATCCCTCATTGAGACTCCCATCTCAGATAAGTCTAACTTCCGTGAAGTTGATAATTAAGACTAATTAATGTAAGGAGTAAGTTTTTTCCGCCCACTGCCTGGTTTGTCCCTCTGCGCCAGCCCCAAATAATGCACAGAGACTCTGTATTTGATATAATCCTGTTGGCCAGTTAGTAGTTTCTTATCTGCTAGCTCTGTCTTAATTATTAATACATTTCTATGTATTTCCACGTGGTCTTACCGAAAGCGCAGGGATGGCGGTTCTGTTCTCTCCAGGCTCTCCATCCTGACTCCTCCTTCCTACTTCCTATTTCCTCCTTGTCTCCTAGTCCCTCCTATCTTCCTTTCCTATTGGCCAGCAGTGCTTTATTCATTAACCAGTATGAGAAACATATACAGGATGACATCTCCCATCAAATTAACACAATGTGGATGACCCAAAGAATTAACAAATGGTATGAATCTGGACCACTGTTGGAGTGCTAATTAGAAAAAGTCTTTCATTGGAAAAAAAATAACTGTAACCAAATTATGGAATTAAAACAGTGGGAGGCTGGAGTGAATTTAAAAAAAAATAAGCAAACAAACTGCGAATGGAGGGGTGACAGTGTGATGAAGGCATTATTTCAAATCAGTGGAGAAAAGAAGGAAGATAGATTCAGAGAAAGGGTGTCATCGGCAAATCAACTTATTTGGAAAACATCATGTAACAGTGGCTAAGTCAGCATCAGTGTTGACCTCTACCATGCACAACTACTCCCAGTGTTTTAAGATAAAAAATGTGTCCTAAGTGATGTATCTAATGTCTCATTAACTAAGAACTTGTTCAGTGGTTCTAGAGATAATGTCAAGTTTAGTCTCTGATTTTATTTTATTATTCATTTATTTATAAGTCTGTGTATGCAGGATACATATGCTGTCCTCATGTTCAGGTACCTATAGACAAGTGGGATCAGCAGAAAACTCCTTCCAGCATGTGGGTCCCAGGGATTGAACTCACATCAGCAGACTGAACAGCAAGCATCTTTACTCATCTTTACTCTTCACTTCTCTTGAATCTTGGATTTACAGAATAAAAAGGTTTGACTTGTGTGTATTAATTTAATGGAATTGTATTACTCAACTTCATGGTATCTTTACTGTTTCCATCCCTTTGAGGGGTTCCTGATAGTGAGGCACCCTGGAACTTCAGTCTGTCGCTCGTTTGTTATGTGTGTAAGCCACATTGAGAATCAGACCTTTGAAACTGATGTTTTACCATTTCCTGAAGCTCCGAGGCTGGCAGGTTTGATCCTACAGCACAACTGCATGGATCAGTTGAGGACTAAGTTCAGCAGTGAGGGGCTTGTCTCTGATTCCCATGTCCCCCATGATGAGTTTATTAGTGTCTGTTTTTGCCTATTATGATTTTTACTAGGCATGCTTCTTAAAAATCTTCTGAAGAGATTTTGCCTGTTAAAAGGAGAAGTGGGGTTTGTGAGCTGGTTCAAAGAGTCAAAGTGCTTGTTGCAAAAGCCTGATCACCTGAGCCCACATAAAGATGTAAGGAGAGAGCCAACACCACAAAGTTGCCCTTTGAACTCCATGATCACACATGCACACATGGACACAATAATACTAAACTAAATTTAGAAAAAGAGACCTAGGGACTGGGGCTGTAGTTCAGTTAGTAGAGTCCTTGTCTGATATGCATGAAACCCTAGATTTAATTCCAACACTACAGACTCTGGGCAGACCTCAAACTCATGGGAGGCTACATGTCCTGAGAATCCAGCTGTGTGCCACCACACATGGCTTATTGTGAATTTTCTTTTGAAAGTTTTCTTCATCATCTCAGACTTCAAGGACATTTAATTATACAGTTTTACCACACAAAAAGGATGGCAAGAATAGACTGGGGAGGTAGCTTAGTAGGTAAAATACTCATCTTGAAAACATGAGGACCTCAGTTGAATTCCCAGTACCAACATAGAAAGTCAGGCATGGTGGTATTGGCCCAGCAATGAGAAGATGAACACAGTAGGATGTCTGGAGCTCACTGGTCAAACAGTCAGTCCAGCAGATTTGGTAAGGTCCAGGTTTAATGGGAGACCTTGGCTCAAAAACTAAGGTGAAGGAAGATTGAGAAAGACACTCAAGGGGCCCCCACATGTATGGATACACATGCATTTACACTGCCCTACACACACAAACACACACGCATGCGCACACACACATACTAGTAGCCAAGAGAAGACGCAGGGATGACTTATAGCAATTCAATGCCCAGTGCTCACATTCACTTGGTAGTAAAAATGTAATGTTAGAATCTAGGCTCCTCTCAGGTGCTTTCACAGGCACCTTACTGAGACATTGTGTTTGAGCCCTGGGGAGATGATTTTACAATAAAAAATCTTCAGAGGCCACACTTTGTGCTTGCTGCTATTTCCCTGCCTCCAGCCTGGGAATCAGAGGTCCTAGTAGTAAAATTTCCCCCATCCTCATGAGTTGTAAGAACAGGCTCCCACTTCTGCCACTGAATGGGCTCTGATCTCTTTCTTCAGAGACCCCGCCACACTGTCTGTCTTGGTGATGTGACCTGAACTCTTTTAAAGCCCCTGCCATTCTATTGTCTCTCTATCTGTTCACAATGTTACTAATCCCCAGCAGTCTTGCTCAGTACCCTCTTGAATCCATCCTCCACCAGAAATCTAACATTCTTTTCCTCATTGCCACAAAATGGATGCTGAAGCTGCAGATATTTCATCCACAAACAGGAAAGGAGAAAAGGCCACCTCAATACTCTTTTTATCAAAAGGAATATTCCTTTCCCAGAAGCTTCACGAGACCCCCTGATATTTTGATGGCCAGGCTTATTAATGTGCCTACCCCTAAGCCAATCAATAGCAGCAATCAAGGGATTGTCCTGTTTCATCTTGTGGCTTGCTGCCATTCTTATGGGAAAGGAACCATCCATGCTACTGGCAACAATAGTGGGCACTATAGACATTAAAAATGTGAGATCAATACCAGGTTCACGCCTGCCATCATTCATCAACTTTTTCATTAATTTCTTCCACGTTATTCAGTCTGTTTTGTTTTCTTGGCTGGGGTATTTTCTGCGGAATGTTTTTCAGTCAGGGCGGTGCACAGGTGGTTGACACTTTTATAGTGTCTTATCTGAACTATCTTGATAAGAAATTGAATTTTGTGTAACAGACATTTCCTCTCAAAATTCCATGGCAATGACTTTGTGGTCTTTGGCATTTATCTGACAGACATCAGTGCAATAAGTTTTATTTGGAAGCGCCCTGATTCTTCTTCCCCCCAGCTCCCTACAGAGCAGAAGAGCTTGTCCAAACTCAGGTGACTGGGATACAACAGGCTTGAAGCAAAAGCTGTGTCACTAAGATGAGAGAGCACAGTGGAGGGGTTGTTGCCTGCACAGACTTCCACCACTGTAACTCCAAACATTCCTGGGCTCCCTGCAGCACTGCTCTCATCATGAACTGAAAAACTGCCAAGCCTTCTCCAGCTGCCCTTAAGGGCACTGGTGTCTAATGTGACAGTGGGTCCCCTCCTCTCTCTGTTTTGGTCAGTGCCACAGGCTCCCACTCTGTCATCTGTCCCTCATACTCCTCATGGAGTTTGGAAGTTGACTGTGAAGGCACACTTGCCTGTCACAGAGTGTAGATATGTCCTTGTGTTTGTAGAATCTCCTTGAACAAGAACTCCATCTCTCATAGACCTGTGGGGTACAACTCTCCCCTCCTTCCCATTTTCTCTGGTTTGGGATAGAGACCAGATTCTCCTCTATCAACTTCTGCTGTAGTCCTGAGCATCCTGAAAATATTTTGACTATCTTTGTCTTTCTCTGTCTTCTGTCTTACCTGTCCTGCTTTCCATTTCCCCTTTCCTCTGACCTTGGGGAGAATGTATTGAGTGTATTAGGCAGTTGGATCCATAATTGAAAAGTAAACTAGTAAGTCCCATTTGCCTTGATTTCTCTTTTCTTTATTCTTTAGGGGTGTGTGTGTGTGTGTGTGTGTGTGTGTGTGTGTGTGTGTGTGTGTGTGTTCTAGAGATGGGTTTTGGATATTCATACTTGCATAGCAAGTGCTTTTCCAACTAAGCCATCTCCCCCATCCTCTTTATTTTTCCTCTGTCCTCCCGTCTTACTTCTGAACATCGCTGTTTCTGACAGTATCCTTAGCTGAGTCTGCTTAAGGGTTTCTGGACACTGGATTTGGGACTTTCCTATAGGAACTGTGTAAGAGTTCCACACGTCATCTTCTCAGTCTCCAGAAAGGTGTGATGGTGTAGTCAAAACTACTAGGGGAGGGCAGCAAAGAGAATGGACCTGGAACTGGCTGTCCAGTGAATTATTCTACCTTTGTGCATGCTTGGAGAGAAGTGGTGTCTGCCACATAATGTACCAGAGTAGGTCACCTGCACTATATCCAGGTACCTAGGAAGTTCCCAAGCTGTGTTGGATGACAATGCCTCTGCTGTGGCAGCCATTGGTGTTCCAGAACTCTAGAGCATCCAACCCAGTACCTTGACCAGTTTTCACCCAAGCTTCCAACCCATGCTTTGGGATTTGCAGTAATTCACATGTTCAGCATCCACATCTGAGGTCAGCCTGATCATCAAGTGTGAGGCAGGAAGCAAGAGCCACACCAGTTCTTAATAGCATGGGCAATGAAGATCACCCAGATGCACGAAAGGGAAGAGGTCTCCCTGACCCAGGCAAGTAAGACTCAAAATGAACCCAGCATGAGTTCCTCTTATTTGACCTCCCCTAAAGTTGGGCACACTGACAGCTGAGACCTCTGTGGGCCTGAAAGTTAGACAATTCATCACATTGCAACCATTTTTCTCTCTAAATCCCTTGTTGAGATAGAATCTTCTCATTCTACCAAAATTCAGTTCTCGAGTCCTCCAAAAGGGTCCCTCATGACCAATGGCTTCTGACCTTTGACGTCTGGTGGGTGCCTCTGTCACCCCCTTTCCCCTTTTGATGTGTCTCTTCCCAAGGGAAGGTCGTGCACAAGCTGAAGCCAGCAAGGGTCACTGGCTCTGACACAGGCACATGGGAGCTATCTTTCCTCTCACATCCACAGCTATATTTCCTCCTTGTGACCATTTAGAAGCATCAGGTTTGTTCACTCAAAGCTAGGCCCAAAAAGCACGGGGCCTGTGATTGCCCCATAACCAAGAATGAGGGGAGTCTGGAGGAGGGTGGGGGAAAGGACCCCTTCCTCATGACTTCAGAATTTGGATAGAAGCCTCCTAGACTTGGTGGCCTCTGCCCCAGCCCTACCAATGTTCTTTTGTTTGCTCAGGGACAGACATGATTGGCTCTGCAAAGTGAATCACTCTTGCTCCATCCAGGGTGTATTCCTGTAATGAGGGCTCTGTGTGCACATGGGAATGGAGCCTTGAGGATGCATGGGATAGGTGTAGGGTCTGCAGGAGCAGGGCACTGAGTCTCCTTGCAGTCTCAAAGACACCACTGGGATTCACGAAGCTCAGAGAACAATGAATTTTGTATAGCTGAAACAGGAGTATGTATGTGTGTGCATGCAGGTGTACATGTGTGTATTTGTAAAGGTGTGCATGCATGTATGTGCACTCATGAACAAGGAAATTAGCATGGAATGATTAAACAAGGGAAGAGTAGGGAACATGGAATGGGGTGGCGAGCTCACAGGGGAACTTTAATAACTAGCTTTGTTCATATGAAATGGTTAAGCAGACAAATTCTGGCACCTAATTCTCCTACAGCCCAATAAGTTAAGTATTATATTCACTAAAATGTGGGAAACTGAGGCAGTGGAGCAGAAAACCTTTGGAACAAAGTTTGTTTCCAACACCACTTTTGTCATTTGCTTCCCAAACCTGATTACTCACAAAAATATACGGGAAGAAGCCTGGGGAGATGGTTAAAGTACTTGCCACACAAGCATGACAGCTGGAGTTCAGAGCCCCAGAGTCCACATAAACACTGGGTGGTTTGAAAGCCTACCTGAAATTCCAACCTTGGGAGGCAGAGGAGGAGATCCCAAGAGCAAGCTGGCTAGCAGAGTAGCCCAATCAGTGAGTTCTTGGTTTGATTAAAAGACCTTACCTCAATGAACAAATGAGGTAGAAGGACAGCAGATAATGATTTAACCTCTGGCCTCTGCATACATGCACAAATGTGCACAAACACACACATGCAAACATTCATACACACAACAGGATATCACACACACACAGAGAGAAAGAGAGAGAGAGAGAGAGAGAGAGAGAGAGAGAGAGAGAGAGAGAGAGAATGAACTGGAATGGTCTAAAACCTCATTGCACCAGCTCAAGAAAATCTTGGGGGAATGATGAGTGATTTTCAAGTATTAGAGAGTACTCTAAGCCAGGCATGGCTTCTGTTGCCCCAGCACTGAAGAGGCTTGGGCAGAAAAATTGAAAACTCTCAGCTATGTAACAAGACCCTGCCCCAGAAAAGAAAGACAGAGAGGGAAAGAGAAGAAGAGGAGAAAGGAAGGGTGGGAGTAAAACAGAAAGAATGCACTTGGAGTTTTCAAGTTTGAAAATTGGCAAATCATCTTTTTATTCTTTTAAAGAAAGTTTTTAAAATTATATTTATTCATTTTATGGCATTGTGTTTTGCCTGCATTTATGTACATATACCACGTGCATGCTAGTGCCCACAGAGGTCAGCAGAGGGTATTGGATCCCCTAAAACTGGAGTTATGGATTGTTTTGAACCACTGTGTGGGTACTGGGAATTGAACTCTGGTCCTCTGGGGAGGAAAAGTGCTCTCTGCAGCCCCACAAATTATCCTTTGATTAAAAATGTTTTCCAGCTCTTCAGGGGACCAGCCTACTTGCTTGATTCTGCCAGCCCCAACAGTGTGTGGGCAGTGGGCAGGGGACCAGGTCCAATTCCCAGACAGCTGGCAGCCAACCACAGCCTTTGCTGCTCTGCATGTGTTCCAGGAAGGACACAGCCATTCCCTTGCCCTGATTCTTTGCCTCTTGTAACCAAAAAATTAAAATAAAATAAAATCAGGTGAGCCCCAGGGCAGGTCCAGGTCAAGCTGAAGGAAACGAGCCCCTGTGTGAAGGCTATAACAAGGATCGGTGCAATGGGTGGAGGGAATAACTGACAGGAGACCCTTACCAGTCACAGCATAAAGGGATGAAGGAAGCACACTATTGTCTAGTCAGTGTAGGAAAGGGATGGTTTTCTGTACAAATTCACACCCCTTTCAAAGCACCTTTTTCTAATGAAACAGCCCATATTTATAGTTAAGATATTAAATGCCTAAATGCCTCCCCCACCCCAACCTCTTTTGGTGAGACTGGAGAGATGGCTCAGTAGTTAAGAGCACTTGTTATGCTTGCAGAGATTCTGGGTTTAGTTCCCCACACATGGTAGTGCATAAGCATCTGTAACTCCAGTTTCAGGGTATCAGATGACAGACAGACATGCATGTATTACACACATGTATATACAGTCAAAACACTTATGCAAATCTGTTTTGTTTTCCAAAAGAGGCACTTGAAACTGGGTATAGCTGTGTAGGCCTTTAATCTCAGTACTTCAGAGGCAGAAGCAGGTACATCTCTGTGAGTTCAAGTCCAGACAGGGCAACACAATGAGACCCTGTCTCCAAAGGAAAAAAAAAACCAATCAATTAAGTAAAATAAAACAAAACAGATGCTTGATTTAACACCTCTTTTCATAAAAACTCATTTGTTGTTTGCTTGGGCCCCCAGTGGGCGGCGCTAGTGAGAGATTGTGGAAACTTCAATAGATGGGCCCTATTGGAGAAAGTTAGGTCAATGGGAATGTACCCATGAAAGGGATATTGGGACCCCCTTCCTTGCTTTTGAGCTGCCATATGCTCCCTACTATGATGTCTTTCCTCTTCAGACCTGAAGCTATAGTGGCAAGTGATGAACTAGAACCAAAATCTCTCGTTTTAAGTTCCCTATCGCATGCATTTGCCACAGCAACAGAAAGATAATTAGTGCAGTAGCCACACGTTGAGTCCAATGGCTTAGGCCTCCTTTTGGAATAAACTGGAATTTTGAAATCTGAGACTTTGAGCATCCAGTTAAGGAGACAGCAAGAGAATCCCAAAGCCAACAAAACCTACCACCGAGGCTCCATCCCCAAGGAGAGCGAGACCTCTCTAGAGCAGCTAGGCTGTAGGAAGCAGGAGGGGGTCAGTCTGACAACTATGGCTAGTCTCTTTGGGGTACTGTTCCCCATGAATGGTCTCCCAAACACGCATGAGTCATCCTTTCTCCACCCAGAAAAGACCCTTCTTGTGTTCTCCTCTCTTGTCCAGTAATCAGAGGTCAACTCAAAGCCACAAACCCTAAAAGCGACAGCAATCTGACCCCCACCCTCCTTTGCCCTGTACTTAACTCCACGTTAGCCAGCTTTTGTGCCGGCTCCCGCACCCCTGAAACAGTGGGACAGTGGGGGTTGACGCGTGATTAAGTTCATGGAAGACAGAGTTCCTAATCTTCACGCTGTATCTTGGGACGCAGGGTGGCTTTGCCTCTGGTTGATGCAGGCGTCCCAGAACCAGCAAGGAAGGGGGCATAGGTGGGCATCCGAGTTTGATTGAGTGTTTGGCTGACTATGAAGGCAGCGCTTTTCTTGGGTCAGGCCCTGCCGGGTGACTGACTAAGGTCTCCAGGCTCCTGCTCGGGAATGTCTTGGAGCAGCCCCTGGCGCAGGTGACTAGATCCTGGGCGACTCCTCTCCGCCGCCTACAGCTTGGACGCGGCTACTGCTCAGGGAACTCGGGCGGCGACCCTGAGCACGAGCATGGCGGGGAGGTGTCTGTAGCCTGGCGTTTCCTGCCTGGCCCTTGGCCCAGGGTGGTGACTGGCTGTCGCGATCGGGGCGCGGGTCCCCGCCCCCGACTCCCAGTCCCCACCCCTGAGCCCTCGGGGGCGCCCCATCACCGGAGGGTGGTCCACCGCGCCCGGATCGCCTAGGGGCGGAGAGGTGGCGGGAACCTCCTTCCCGTTTCCGCCGCGGGCAGCGTGCTGGCCAGTGCCACCGGGAGGCGCGGTCGTCCCTCCGCCCGCGCGCCGGGGGGCCGGCCCTGCAGCCTGCGCCTTTTTCCCCGCGCTCACCGCGGCGGCGCGCGGCCACTAGCCAACCGCAGGGAGCGCGGTGGCTGCAGCGCCCTGCGCTCAGAAGATGGTCCCCGCCGCCGGACAGCTCGCTCTGCTAGCTCTGGGTACGTAGGCGACACCCGGTGTCCCCGGGCCCTCTCCAGACTGCTCTCTACGATGCTCCGGAGTCCACTTGGGAGAGGGGAAGAGAGGGGGGGGGTGTTTGAAGTGGGTGGGAGCATGAGAGCCACCGGGAGTCACTGAGAACTGTGAAGCGGGGGACAGTCCTGGCGAGGTGGCCGCCCGGCGGTGAGATCCGGCTTGAACTTTACTCTACGCGTCAGCTCGCCGGTGCCCACGCCCTCCTGCCTACCTGGCTGTCGGGGAGCCGGGCTTCCCTGGAGCCGCCTGAGCGCGGGTTGTCTGAGTACGACCCTCTGGTGGCCCTGGCTTGAGTCCCCTTTCTTTTCCCCGGGGCTGGAGCCCACGTTGCGCACCCGCGCCCTTGACTTTCCTCTTAAAGCTCTCCTAGGCATTGGGGTGGATTTGGGCTTTTTATGCAGATTAAGTGTTTTGTTAATGAGCTTCCCTGGAAGCCATGGTGTCTCTGTCAGAGGAGGCAGAAGTGACACCTGAGCGTGACCAGTTTTCTCAGAATTGGTGGGTGGGGGAGGGGAGACGCGTCCCCGCGTGTCTGGGTGGCAGGGGAGATTTCCCGCTGCGAAGTTCGCAGACGTGTGCTCGGGTGACTGGTCTGTCCTTGATGTGTGTGTTCCCAAGTGCAGTATCCACTCTCATCTGTCTGGTGCGGGTTCTGTGATGTTTGACAGAGTGGACTGAAGTACCCAGGTGCCCTGGCCACTGATGCTGCCTTGGGAATCTTTCCTGATATCTTCAACATTTAAAAAACCCGGTAAAGAGGCAGGTCAGTGAGTAAAAGTACTTGTCTAGTAGGCACCAAGCCTGGGAATGATCCCGGGACCATGTAAACCAGGGCTTGTGACCCTAGCGCTGGGAAGGCAGAGGCAGTAGGGTCATAATTTCAATACCATTCTCAGCTACATAGCGAGTTTGAGACTATCCTGAGCTCATGAAAATCTAGTTTTAATTAATTATTAATAATTAAAGCCCTGTTAAGTAAGATGCTTGCTCCAGGGTCAATAGTGCCCAGAGGGAAGTTTGGAACTCCCCTCTGCAAAATATGCACATACTGGTAGTCTGTCACAGCCAAGATGAAGGAGCCTGTCACAGCTAAGATGAAGGAGGGTTCCCAGGTCCCCTCAATTCTATCCTGGAAAGGCTAGTCCTGCTCTGTGTCAGGAGGGGACGCCCTAGTTGCATCCTCGCCTGAAGGGACAGTTATGGGCAGATTTCCTTACTTTTTGCAAAAACTACCTTTTGGGTGAAGTGAAACTTCAAATACAATATATTGTCATGAAACATGGAAGTGTTGGGAATCCTGCAGGCTTTTTACCTACTCCCCCCCCCCCAATTGTATTTACTAGATAGAACCCGGTAAGTGCTTGCCTGGTGTTCCCAAGCAGTCCTAATTTGTTCACTCATTTGGCTTGTACACCCACCTGATGAAGAAGACATCCTTCTTCCCGTTTTACAGAGAGAGGAAAGACAGTGCAAAGAGCCTAGGTGGACCAGCCTCATTAAATAGCAAGGAGTGCAGGTGTGGAAAGTCACCTCACCTGTGGTCAACATCCCAGTTCTATCTCTGGGGTTCAGGTGGAGCTTTGAGGAGAGATGGTATAGAAAACTCCAGAACTCGCTGTTCGGTTTCTTTGTGGTTAAGCGTCAGGATGGCAAGGTTGCTCAGTCGGTGAAAATGAGAGGCACAAGTGCCTCCCACCTCCAGGCAGCTGTTGACAGCTGTGCTCCCCCAGTCCCTTTGCACGCTCAGCACACAAGCTGTAATTTTCTCCTTGCCTGAGTGCTCTATGCAGCTGCTTCTCTGCTTCCTTGAGAGAGAGAGAAAAAAAAAATTATAAACATAAGATTGACCACTCTATAAAAGCTGGCTTGTAATGTTTCAAAAGGAGTAGCTTTTTAAAAAAATTGCATGTGGATGGGGGGGTTAATTTACACCAATGAGGATTTCTTTTTATTTAACACTCTTTGAAAGAAAAAAAAAAAAAAAACAGCCCTTAGGTCTGTTCCTTTACTCAAATGGCTGCCTCCCACCTGTCTTTAATTGACAGTATTTCCTCTGAAGCTGCCTTTTTTCCTCTCTGATTTTTCTTAGACAGCTCCGGGCAAATCAGCCAGCATTTCATCAATAAACACGGTCCAGAAAAGCCTAGGCTGGCCTGACAGACTTGGCTGTTAGCGCTGCCATAGAGGCTTGGATCCCTACACTTATCCACTTTCTGGGGACAGAGTGTGGGGAATGCGGCCCAGATAGTGACTTTTCGAAATGTGATCCAGGTTCCTGTGATGACTGCCATCAGGGTTCTCCTCCTGGGCATGGCACTCCTATTTGTCCAGGGAACAAGAGGTTAAGTTGTGGGCAGTAGATCGCCTTCCTGTGCCTTGTTTTTCGTCACTGTGAAATGGGAATGTTAGGAGGGCTACTGGATAGACTTGATGCCTGCAGACTAATGTCTGGTATGTAGTAAGAGCTTAATTAACCTTAATGCCACCCATCCCCTTGTTGTTAGTACTTGGAGCTCCAGAGAATTCAGGATGTCACGGCAGGTTATGTGGGTCACCACCTGAGCTTGCCTCAAGCTCCTCACCCTGTTTCTGCCAGAAAACCTACCTAAGTGATTTCTAGTCAGGGTCGCCTGTCGGCCATCAAACTCCAGTAAACCTAGACATTCTTCCGTACATTATAAACCATTTCATTTCATTATAAACCATTTCATTTTTTATGTCAAACATTTGTGCCTTTTCTGTAGTACCCAACGGCCAGTTGTTTTCCCTTCTGTAAAGTGGGGATAATAAAGCCAGCCCCATCTTCCAGGTTGCTTTGAAAGCAGATGAGATGGCCAACAGATTTACAAACCATAAAAATAATTAGGCTGGGGATGCAGCTCAGTGGTAAAGCCATTTTACCTGGAATGCCCAAAGCCCTACTGCTGCAAAAGATATAAGTAAGTGCTACACTGAAAATAAAATTGATTTTGTGACCGAGGTGGCCTTTATAACTCCTAGATAAATACTGTTTTGGCAGCACCTTCCATAGGTGAAGACTGTCTATAGATGTCAGAGGAGGCTGTCATGGATGGGGGTGGCAGTGATTGGTGACCTTGTTTTGGATTCATTAGGGGATTTCTCCATCACATGGAAATGTCATCTTTTAGGCCTTCACTGTCTACCTTTCATGAGTCCTTCAGGACTCAAGCCTTCCATACTGGACAGTTAGGGTATGCTTGCTGGGAGTGAGGCCTGGAGAGGTGGAGGTAGATGTTGGCAAGGTTGCTGGCCTTATTTTCTCTTCCAACATTTGGTTTCCTCAGGACAAGGTGATCTTTTTATAAGTAATGCCTCTTTCAAGGGAGACTTTTTTTTATAGGAGCAAATGATGCTTTGAACTATTTTTACTATGGTAACACAGACAAATGGATGACTTTCCCATTGAATGGATCTCCAAGGACCTTTGCAATATGAGTTTGGAACAAGACCCTGGTCACCACACTGCCCTCTAAAGCAGACAGGCATCAGGTCATCCCACACTGAAAACCTTGTGAGCATCTTGTACAGCAATATGCTGTGTCTGACCCATCTGGAGGCCTGACGAACAGGGGTGGAGGGGTTTGTGTGCTCAGTAAGGCCTCAGGTGTGTCCTGTGTGGCTGGAGGTGCCTCAAAAACCCCTGCTCTTCAGACAGTGCTGTGGGGACCTTCTTCCTTAACTAACTAGCCTGTGCCTCCAAGCCATTCTCCCTATCCATCGATCAATCAATCTTAAGTGTGGCTGACTACTTGGGAGCTGTCATTAAAGCCACCTTTCAGCCTGTGCTGCTGGCAACGAAGCTGTTGGAGCCTTGTTGTGAGTTCACAGTTCTGCTTTGCCTATAACCTGTGTTACCAAACATCAGTTTCAACCTAACCATTTCATGCTTTCTGTTTTTAAAGTACTTATTTTTAGTGTATGAGTGTTTTGCCAGTGTGTACCCCTGAGCATCACATGTACACAGTGTCCAAGGAGGCCACAAGGGTATCAGATGACATGAGAATGGAGATACAGAGGATTGTGTGCTACCATATGGGTGCTGGGAATTGAACCCATATCCTCTGCAAGAACAGTCAGTGCTCTTGATATGTAGCTTATTCAAATATTCCTGATATGACTTTAAGATATAAACTATATATATATATATATATATATATATATATATATATATATATATAAAACGTGTGTGTGTGTGTGTGTATGTAATTGTATCTAGATAAAGAGGCTTGGGAGATTTTTCTACTGGCTTTGATTTGGATTATATTTTTGTTATGATTTTTAAAAAGTATGTGTGTGTGTGTATATATCTAGATTTGTGCACATGAGTGAAGTGCCCACAGAGGCCAGAACACAGTATCAAATCCCCTGGAGTTGTAGTCACAGGTGTTGTGAGCCACCTATTGTGATCACTGGAACTGAACTCACGTCCCCTGTAAGAGTAGTGGGCTCTCTTCGCTGCTGAGCCGTCATCTCTCCAGACCTTTGGTTAGCTATGTAATGTCTCCTAGGGCAAATGGCAAATACAAATATCTTTCCTAAAATCAGAAAAGCCAGAAATCCAGCTATCAAGACCACCTCTAAACAGCAACTCAAACGCAAGGGGGTGTGCTCTTTTGACCCACAGGCTCATGTCTAGGCACCACTCCTTCTCTCTCCAGGGTGTTACTCACTGTGTAGACAAGGCTGGCCTTGAACTCACAGAGATCTGACTGCTTAAAGGAAGGTGCCACCACCCTGCCTAGGCCAATTCTTTAGAAGCATCATGAATGTGTTGTATTAAACCAGACTTAAGAAATAAAAACTGTTAACCTGGGATTAGAAAAGGCCAGACACTTAATGAAACCTAATTGTGTTCAATCTAATACTGGCTTATTTGTTGTAAGCCTGATGAAGCTTTTTGCTTTCTTTCTTTCTCTTATTTTCTTTTTACGTGGAGTCATCT